CAGCAGGGAGTCTGCTTCTCCCTCTGACCCTCATGATCTCTCTATCTCATTCTCTCTCTCAAATAAATAAATAAAATCTTTAAAAAAATATATTAAAAAAAAAATCAGCCCATTCTTACTTTCTTGTGTTCCCTTTTGCAGGATGCTAAATTCCAATATCTGTGGTCTCCTTCTTCAAGATCTAGGCTTACTTTTAAATATTCATCCGATGAGTCTTGCTTTTAAACAATCAGACAAATCAGTTCTTCCAGTTATTGAATTAGAGATATATAAAATATTTAATATTTATTTTTTGTTTATTCATTTAACAAATATGCCTTGAGTACCTTTTGGGTACCAAACTCTGTTCCTGGGGCTAGGAATAGAGCCGTGAACAAATCGGATGAGAGTCCTGCCCTTATACCGCTTCCATTCTAGTGGAGTGTCAGTCAGTGAAGAAGGAAATGTATAAATGAGAGAATTTCAATGAATCTTAAGGGCTATGGGAGGGAATCATGTGAAGAGGACTCCTAGACCAGTGAGCAGTCTTCATATTTATGAATAAAACTGAATGTGTTACAGATGTCATGCTCTTAGTTTCCTTGTGTATCAGGTTACCTGAAAGGTATCAAACAGTCTTGATGGTGGGTATTTGAAGTTCTGTCCCATTCATACCTCATCCACAAGAAAGATATGGAATGGCTGAGGAGGAAGGTGGCTATTTTCTGGACTTTTGGTTTCATGAGTGCACCTCAGTCTGTATGAATGCTCCTCAACCTTGACTAGAACCCTCTTTGTTCAGGTTGCTCTATTTGAGTATCTCTGATGGACCAAGGGGAACCCAGGGAAGATGAGGGAGTCATCGATCACCCAGTAACCTCGCTGGGTCATCTTGCTGTGTCAGTGCACTCACATCCTCAATGCCAGGGAAACTGCTTGCTTGCTTATGGCATTATGTATCCAAGGCCTGTTCACTGGTGAGCAGTCAGGCATCCAGCCATTGTAGAGCCTGTGAAGGAAGAAGGTAGGGTGAGCGGATGGCATGTGAAGAGTGATATACAGGGGCACTTTTAGGTTTCTTTGAAGAGGTAATGTATGATCCCAGTTCTGAAGGATGAGAAGGAATGAGCTATGTTGGGGATCTGGGGGTAGGGACAGCATACGAGAGATGCCCCAAATGGAGAACGCGTTTGAGAAGTTCAGGGAATAGAAAGAAACCACAATGGCTGGAATGTAGGGTGTGAAGGACAGAGTGCTGTGAAATGAGGTTGGCATTGAATGGAGGAAACTACACAGGGCCTTGTAGGCCTTGGTCAGGAGTTTGGACTATAAGTACTACTGGAGGCCACTGGGAGGTTTTGAGTGAAGGAATGACCTGGTTTAATTTACAGTGCTCAGTCTTTCTGCTGAGTGCATGGTGGAGGATGGCCTGTAGAGGGGAGGAGTGGAAGCAGGAGCCCAGGCAGAGGGCATGTTGCAGCCTGGGTGAGGATTCATGGTGACATATTCCAGGCAAGGCCGAGGAGGGCTTGAAGTACCCAGTGTTGGAGCATGTTGGAGGTAGAACTGACACCCTGGAGATGGGCTGTGAAGGATTGAGAAGAACCTGTGATGACAAGCAGCTGGGTGGGTGGCGGGCCCTGAGGGAAGAACAGAATTTGAGGGGAGAACAATACTTTCCTTTGGACACGTTTGATTTGAGGAGCCTTGTAGTCCCTCAAGTGGAGAAATCCAGCTGGCAGCAGGCTTTGAGAGTAGAGCTTGCAGGGTGAAATCTGGAGTCCTCAGCAGAGGGGTGAAATCTCTTTCTTGATAGTACCCAGGAATTGAAAGTGGGTGAGGCCATTTCTTTCCTATAGGCATATGATCTAATTAATGGTTTACACGTTGTGGCCTTTATCCTGTCATTTTATGTTATACATGTTAACATACATATATGTTACAGGCCATTTCTTTTTTTTTCAACTCTTCAAGAAAATATTGAACTAGATAAATACTGTGCTAGATGCAGAAGACGTAATGACATATGGGATGGACTGAGGGTTCTGTAGGGTTGGTAGTATCTCCAACAGAGAAGACCTATCATTCCTTCAGAATTAAGTCAAGAATTCCAGTGGGAGGGATTCCACCAGGAATTAAGTAAAGTGAGATATGTTTTATGACCCAGAGAGAACTAGCTGGTGGGGCAATAGCAGAGGCACTGACCTAGTCTCTGGGCAGGCTGGGGATGTTTCAGCTATCAGTGAATGCCAATAGGAGCTGGCAGGTGAAGTATGCTTCAGAAGGAACAGTTAGCGGTGGGTGGGCCAGCAGTTCGTATTGGGGTGAAAATGAACAGAATCCTTTCTTGGAAGCACATATTCTGTGGAAGGCACTCAAGGATTCCTTGGCAAGATTATGTAGCTCCTAAGAATGATAAGACTAGTTTCATTGCTACCTGCTTTCACACGGGTAAATTTGTTAGTTACTAGGAACTTCCATTGCTCTGTGCTATTATTTTGGGGCAGAAAATAGAATGTGAAATTGGCAGCTGATACGACTTTACACACACCTTATGTGAATTATTTCAAAGAACCAGGTCAGATTTTTTTTGGTATGAAAAGCCCTATGTGGTTCTCAGAGGAAAACAACTCCTTAGATTCACCAGCATTAGTGTTAAGTTTATAGAACTTAAATATAGTAATGGGTGTGTTCATATATAGTTACAGTATTAGGACCCCAAAATTCAGTTGAATCCACTTTATCATAGATGGAATAGCAGCATATTTGTTTCTTGAGTAATCCTTGCAAAATTTAAAGAAGCTGTTCTTAATTTTCCCGAGATGACTAGTGTATTCTTCCCAAGAGCTAATACCTTGGTCAGGACCCTGTTGTAAATGGCACAACCAATCTGTTTGCCAAGGAAAATGTACAGCCAAGGAAAATGTACAAAGGTATGTTGACAGTGGATAAGTACTCTGACCAGAGTTGTGAGGGATACTCAGGCCCATGGATGAAGTGGCTCTGTTGCTGCTGGGCCCCAGCAGTTACCACTGGGCTAAGCTCCCTGCACAACCTGCAGTCCCTGGTTGAGCAGACCTGGTGCAACAGGGAGAAACACTGCTCAGGGCAACTCTAGGAACACATGGCGGGCCTCCCTGTGTCCAAACAGGAGTGGAACAGCTCACCTGGGAGCTGGAGGGAAGGCTTTGTTCAGTGGCCCAGGTGGAAGTGGGTGGGTATGCTGGGGAATGCCTGCTAGTACTCTTGAGCTGGTGTTAGGTCAGCTGGGAAGGAGGAGAGACTGGGCCATGTAGGACTCCAGGAGCAAAATTGTTTTTCAGATGTACAAACCCCATCCCTCTCCTCAGTGAACTTCTATTCCCCACCCCCAATAGGAAGGCATCTTGTTCCTCCCCAGACTTGTACTAACCTCTGGCCTTCTAGCTGGTCTTTGAGAGCTGTGCCCCATTGGTTCTGATACCCTTGAATCTGTCTCCTGCAGGGGTCTGCCTGTGGGGGAGGGGCCCCAGGCCAACTAAGATCTCTTTGTGGAGAACAAATGGGTGGGGATACTATTGTTGTTGTTCTGTTTTGTCTCATAGGGGGATAAAACTAGTTTTTACTTTCCTTCATTTCTGAAAAGGTTGTTTGTGAATTCTGATATTTGATCTGATAGTTGATAAGATTATTGTCATAATGGTAACTTTTTCTTTTCAGATAATGTGGATGCAAGTGATCTTAAGCAGTTTTTTGAGACCAACTACTCTCAGATATATTTCATCTTCTATGAAAATTTTATAACACTGGAAAATAGTTTGAAATTGAAAGGTAAGCATTTCTACAAAAAGATTTTTTATATACAAAGTTTTTTTTTTTAACATTCAGAAAGTTTTAGAGGTTGTATGTGTCATGAGTCACAAGTTATATGCTTTTTTAAAAATTTTTTTATTGTTATGTTAATCACCATACGTTACATTAGTTTTAGATGTAGTAGTTCCATGATTCATTGTTTGTGCATAACACGCAGTGCTCCATGCAGAATGTGCCCTCTTTAATACCCATCACCAGGCTAACCCATCCTCCCACCCCCCTCCCCTCTAGAACCCTCAGTTTGTTTCAGAGTCCATCATCTCTCATGGTTCGTCTCCCCAAGTTATATGCTTTTAAGCTTCCTTTCTTGCCAGACTCTTAGCAAAGCTGGGAGATTGCAATGGTTAGCATCTTTGTTTCCCTGGAACCTTCTCTCATACAGCTGTTAATTGAACAACAAATGGCTACAGGGAAAATGGAAGGAGAAACCCACAGAAGTCATGAGTTCCACAGGAATAATATACTTAAAAAGAAAGACATAAAAGTAATATGTGCACACTATAAAAAATTCAGACTCCACTAAAGGGTTTGAAATGGGGCATCTGGATGGCCCAGTCGGTTAAGTGTCTGCCTTTGGCTTGGGTCATGATCCCGGGATCCTGGGATTGAGCCCCATGTCGGGCTCTCTGCTCAGCGGGGAGCCTGCTTCTCCCTCAACCTCTGCCTACCACTCCACCTGCTTGTGCTCTCTCTCTCTCTCTCTGTCAAATAATTAAATAAAATCTTTAAAAAAAATAAAGGGTTTGAAATGAAAATTGAACCGTATGTTTTTGCCCAGACCCCCAGTCCTGCTCTGCATGCAACCACTATTAAAAATTTCATGCATTTCTTTCTATATGTGTTATTAATGTATGATGTTTATATTTGCTTATGGTTATACCCTTATATACTTATATAAAATATTCTTTGAAAAATCAAGCCAATAATGTCACACTGCACAATCTGCTCTGCTCTGTATTTAGGTGACAGGATATTGTAGCCTGGGGAGCCAGACTGGGTTTGGGTCCTGGCCCCATCCTTCCAGCTATTTCTCCTTGGGCAAGTTACTTCACCTCTCTCTGACTCAGTTTCCTCCTGTCAGCATCAAACAGGTTAACATGTATCCTGGGATTTCAGGACAGAATATGGCACATAGTATGTGCTCAGTAAATATTAGCTGCCATCATCACCTTCTTATTTGTTTTCATGTAGTCCGTTTTGGAAATCCTTACATGTTAGCACACTTATTTCTACCTCAGTTTTATTTATTAAAAAAGTATTTTTTTTACTTGAGTATAGTCAACACACAATATCACATTAGTTTCAGATGTACAACATAGTGATTTGACAAGTTGATATGTTATGCTCACCACAAATGTAGCTGCCATCTGTCACCGTACAGCGCTATTATAGTACCACTGATTGTATTCAGTATGCTGGGCCTTTCATCCCCGTGACTTTTTCATTCCATAACTGGAAGCCACTCCCCATCACTCATTTTATACATCCCTCTACCCCCTTCCTTATTACAACCATCAGTTCTCTGTATTCATAGGCTTGATTCCGCTTTTTATTTGCTTGCTTATTCACTTGTTTTGTTTTTTTTTAGACTCCACATATGAGTGAAATCGTACGGTGTTTGTCTTTCTCTGACTTATTTCGCTTAGCATAATACCCTCTAGGTACATCCATGCTGTCGTAAATATCAAGATCTCATTCTTTTTTATGGCTGAGTAATATACCATTATATGTATGTACCACTTCATCTACTGATGGACATGGGCTGCTTCCATATCTTGGCTATTGTAAGTAATGCTGCAGTAGGCATAGGGGTGCATATATGCTTTCAGAATGTTGAGTCTGGTTCATAAACTGCCACAACAGTAGTGGGAACTCTGGAGGGAAGCCAGGTTCAGGAGGTAAGAGGATGAGTGCAGCTTTGGGCAGTCTGAGTTGAGGTGCCCATGGGACACCCAGGTGTAGGTTCTGGCTGGGCAGTAAAAATGTAGGGACGGGAGCTTGGGAGAAGAGAGGTGCAATCATGCTGTTGCCAAGGGACGTGTTCTTTGTAGAGAGAGTGACAGTTAAGGATTTGGGGTAATTCCTTCTTTTATTGGGCAGATAAAGAGTAAAGATAAAGGAGTAGTGTATGGAGCTGAGAAGAGGCTTCGATGGCAGGAAAGCATTTTGTCACAAAAGCCCAGAGAAGAGAGAATTTCAAGGAATGAAATGTCAGCAATGTTTGATGATGCAAAAAGTTGTGGAGCAGCTGGATTAGGAAGTGGTAGTGCATCGAGGAGGTTGTCACTGAGTACTGAAAGAAAAGTCTAGGTGAGTAGTGGGATCCTAAGCCAGACAGAGAGATGGAGTGGCTGGGGGTGAGACCGTGGAGGCTACACACAAGAATACCCTTTTAGAAAGTTTGATGGTGAAGACAGAGGATCATAGCTCAAGGCGTACCTTGGTCAGGGGAGGGTTTTACAGGCTGCATTTACCTGTTTGCAGGCTGACTAAAGGGAGATGACTGATGGTGCAAGGTGGTGGGGAACATTGGTTGAGATGGAGTCAGGTATACAGAAGAGGATGCAGAGAAGAGTGTATGGATGCCCTGACTGCTTCTGCAGAACCTGAGGCAGACATCAGGCATGGAGGGGAAGGAACGTGGCACAGGCACTGTGGTGGCCTCGGACATAGACCGATGGCTCAGAGTCTTACAGAATGCTCCAGCTTCTAGACGGTCATCAAGTCAAATACGACCGTGTGCCCAAGGATGCCAACAAGGGGTTTTGTTTTTTGTTTTTCAATTAATTGCTCAGTTTTTCCCCTGTGAGTTATAAATTGACATACATCTTGAGCTTAATTTTTTCCCCAAATTGGTAGATAATTCAAATATGAAACAATCTGATTTTTATCCTGTTCCCTAGTTTTGTTCCACTTAACTTTTTTTCACAGGTGTGTGGAGGAAAAAAGTGTGATATTATGGGTAATCAGAATAGCAAAGAAAGATATTAGAATTCCTTGTCTTAAAAAAAGCCCTGCACCAAAACACCCCATTTTAAAGGCTCCTCTGTCCCTCCTCCTTCCTCCCTTTTGCTCTCTCTGTCCTTCTGGAAGAAAATGTAGTTGTTCAAGAGTGTATCAGTTAGTTTGTGCTGTATAACAAATTGCATTATAAACCGTCCCAAAACTAAGTCCCTTAATAAAACAACCAGTCATTTAGCTTACAATTTTCTGGGTTTATTGGGCAGTTCTTCTGGTTTAGGCTGGCTCATGCCTCTCCCATCAGCTGGTGGTTGATGGCCTCATTTACATGTCTTGTGGTTGGCAAGCTGTTGACCAGGGCACTCCATGCTTGCAGGTTATCTTGAGCTCCTTTCCATGCTGGCCTTAGGGTTCCAAGCTCAGCGAGTGCATAAGGCTTTTCAAGCTTGTGCTTCCCTCACATTTGTTAATGTAACATTGGCCAGAGCAAGTTACATGCCTCTCCAATGCAAATAGAGAAATAGACATCTCTTGATAGGAGAGGAAAAATTCTGCATTCTTGCAGTCTATTACAAAGAATCATAATGAAGAACCAATAAAATAGGGTTGAGATTTTCAAGTTTCTTGCTTTTAATACAATCTGTGTTTTGATTAGAGTACCAGGAAGAAAGTGTACCAAAACAACAGAATGAAGGAAAATGTTTGCTATGAATAATGAAATCATCTTGTGATAACTTCAGCCTTCCGTTATTTAGGCCAAAACCCAAGTTTATTGGCTCTGCCTTCAAAATACATCCAGAATCATTGGCCTCTTCTCATTGCCTGTGCTGGTAATGCTGGTGCTCCCATTATCCTCACCTGGATTATTAGGCCCTCAGAAATGGTCTACCCCTTTCCACACTTGTGATCCCCCCCACCCCCCGCCCCTGCCAGTCTCTTCAGAAGAGCAGCTGGAGTGATGCTTTAAAAATATATCACATCATGACTCAGCACGCCATACCCTCAAATAGCTTCCCAATTCTGGAAGTCATTACAATGGCCTCAGACCACCTTACCTGCCTGCCTTTACCCTACCCGCTTTCTAACCTCACCTGCAGCAGTTCTCCCCCTTCGCTGCAGACACAAGGGGGGCCTTCTCGCTGTTTCCTGACCATGCCAGGCTTTCTCAGCCATAAGGAATTTGTCCAGTCCCTCTGCCCAGAACAAATTTCTTCCAGATGTCCATATGGCTTATTTCCTTACCCCCAAGTGTCCATGTGTCTTCCTTCCTTGCCTTTTTCAGATCTTTGCTCGGATGTCACCTTATCAGCAAGGTGTTCCCTGACTTCCCTGGTCAGAACTGAATACCACCCATTTTGGCATTCCCCATTAGCCTTCCTCTTGGTTTTCTCATTTATTGAATACATCCTCCAGCCAGAATATAAACTTCCTCAGGGCAAGGATTGTTGTGTTTTGTATCACTCCTGTATCCTCACGGCCTGGAAGAATCTCTGACACAGACATTCTTTAGTATATGTTCAATGAACGAATGCCATCTTATCTTACTTCATAGAGCTGTGGGGATTCCGTTAGATCAGGGGTCCACAACTTGCAGCTGACTGCTTGTTTATGCAAATAAGTTGTTGAACACAGCCATACCCAGTGCATTTATGTGTTACCCATGGCTGCTTTTGCGCCATCATGGCAGAGTTGAATGATTACAAGAGGGGCCTGTAAAGCCTAAAATATACACTGTCTGGCCCTTTACAGAAAAGGTTTGCTTCTTCCTAAGTTAGATGCTGAATGGCAAGCACTTAGCCCAGGGCCCTTGGCACAGAGACTGGACAATAAATGTAACCAGCTGCTATAGGTTTTGTAGTTTCTATTATTGTCACTGTCAAAAGGACAAGTGCACATGGCCTGAAGACATGCATGGCTTTTCATAGTTATGACTGCTCTGTGCCTCTTCACATCAAAAAAGGTAGAATGCTTTCTTTGCTTCTGCTGTGCATTCCTTCATAATTTGAGCCCATAAGTAACGAATTGAGAAATGAATAAATTGCCATCTACGGGTTGACTCAGAAAACGTGGAGGCTGTGTTTAAACAGCCAGCGAGGAGTGGCTCTGCTAGAGGTGGACTCAGGCGGTGTGGTTTGGGTATCTATCTACATTCCTGACATGGATTCCATGCTACCTCCTGGTAATTTTTGAATAAATGAGTGTATGTTGAAGCTTAAATGTTTTCAGGATAACATAATTTTTAATATCCTAAAATTTACACATTGTCATGATAACTAATGTTTTTTTGTATATTCCAGGGAATAAGTCACAAAGGGAGGAGCTGGACTCCATCCTCTTTCTTTTTGAAGTAAGTGTTTGTTAAATTCATTTAGCTTTTAAGATTCTTGCTGGCTCTTTAGTTTTACTTGAAGACATAAAAAATGATGGACATGTATTTCCTTCCCTCTACTTTTACAAACAATGCTGCAAAGCATATTCTTGTGATTTTTAATTTTTTTTTGCAAACACGTGGGAGAATTTTTCCTGTATGGTTACCTAGATGTGAAGTTGTTAGATGGAAATGTATCCACATTTAAAATACTGATATTGCCAAATTGTTTTCGAAAAGGTCATATAAACTTATATGGAAACTTATATGGAAGTTGTATGTAAATTTCCCTAACCAACCCTGGAGATGATTTTTTTAATATATATAAAATATTTATTATATATATATATATATTTGCATATATATAATGCAAACTGACATGTTGAAAACCCACTGTTTTCAATATGTATTTTCCTGACTACTAGTGAGATTGCAATCTTTGTATGTGTCTGTGTGTCCATGTGTGATCACATATTCTTTTCAAAGTTGGATCAATATATTTGGGTGTGGTTCTTGATCTATTAAGCTTAAAGTCTTCTTGTCCGCATGTATTAGACAAGTGGCCAGATTACTGATACCTTGAGAGTTACACTAGAACTAAATTGTGGGTTCTGAAAGTTAATTGTTGGTTATCTAGAAATTATTCATGGTTTGAAGAGACACGTGCTTAGGTTGGTGTGAGATCAACTTTATGACTGTAAGGGGAAGGCCTAATGTATATTTGTTGCGGAGCTGGCTGGAGGGAGAGGCCAGGGGAGAAGGCTCTCCATGGACTTTCTGGGTTTGTGGAATAAAACAGATCTGAAGACCTCCTGCCCAGTACCTGGCTCATGGCTGGCACTCAGTGACTGTGGTTCCCCTTTCTCTCCTTTGAGGACTGTACTCTTTCCCCAGAGTAAGAGACATTGATTTACTGTATATTTTATGGTGGTTATTGTGTTTCCTGTGGTAACCCTCCTTGAATGAAATTCTACAGAGGAGCTGTCTTTAACAGGAGCTTTAATTAAGCCTGTCACTTAAATATGTATCTACTAACCATTATTTGCTTGAACTATCCCATTAATTTAAATTATCTTATTTATGTAGCAGTTGATACATTTACTAAAGAACCTATAATATATATGCAAGTTTTGAAGCATAGTGCTAAAGTCCATTCTCTTGACACCCATTCCCCTCCCTCATTTTAAGAACTAGAAGTTACCTGGGTGCTTCTCCTTGATCCTGTTCTTTTTCTCCTCTGAAGGCAGTCACTCCTCTGCATTATGCTATTACCCTTCTTTTTTAAAAATGGTTTTTACCGCAAATATTCATATCCCTAAACAATGCAGTTTTGTTTGGTTTTGAGTATAATAAAAATGGTCTCAGATGGTACATAATCATCTGTGGCTTGCTGTTTACATTCAACGGTATTTCTGAGATTTATCTATGTGAATTTAGCTCGAGTTCATTCATTCCATCCCCACTGCTGGATTAAGTGAATATGTATGATTTATTTAATTCCAAATTTTGTCTACAGATTTTTTTTTGTTTTCTTGGTGGACAGTCAGATTGTCTGTTAATAATGACGAGCTTGCCAGTTAGTCTGTTTTCTTGTCTTACAGTGCTGGCCCAGCCCTCCAGTACATGGATAAACAGACACAACAAAGGTGGTCATCCTGCTTCTGATTTAAAGAGTTCTGTTAATGTTTCATCATTCAGGGCTTCCCCGGCCTCCTGATGTTTTATTAATGAAGTTTTCTGTAAATTTTCAGTAGATACACTTTATCAGATTAAGTTTGCTTCTATTTCTAGTTTGGTAAGATTTATAAAAAGTCATAGTTGGTTTTGAAGTTTCCAAATATATTTTTTTTCTTTATTAACTGAGATAACCATGTGATGATTCTTCATGAATATAAATGTGGTGAATTGTAGTTCTGAATTTTGGAGGCTAATACTTTGCATTTTTGGATCTATGTTCACATCTGAGGTTGGCCTAAATTTCCCTTCCTCACATTGTTTCTGAATGATCCTGATATCAAGGTTGTAGAACCTGGTGTCAGGTATTTTTCTATTTTATAAAACAGTTTGCATAAGATTGGAATGATCTGTTCCTAGAATGTTTTTTAGTCTTTTCCTGTAAAAACCTTCTGAAACTGGACCTTTATTTTTTGTTTTTAATTGGAAGATTTTAATAACTCATTCAATTTCTTTAATCATTTTAGGATTATTTTAGGATTATTCAGGTTTTCTTTTTTTCTTGATTCAGATTTGGTAAATTATATATTTTTCTAAGAATTTTAGGAATTCTAAGAATTTTTGATCACCAGAGTTTTAAAATTTTTTGGCGTAACTCTTCTTTTGAGGGTCATAATTCTTTCAGTTTTCTCTGCTCCGGATTAATCTTCCTTGTCTTCAGTTGTTATGTATATTAGACATTGTATTAGCAGTAGTCGCAGTAAAATACTTGTGTCACCCTTTACGGGTACCGTTTTACTAGCTTCTCCTTACCACTGCAGCAGTTTTAAACTCCGTTCCCCCTCTAATTGTTCCTTTAAATGCCTTTTCTCTCTGGCTTCTTTTAAAATCTTTTTCTTAGTCTTTGGTGTTCTGTAGCTTCACCACAAAATGTCTAGTTGAAGATTTCTTGTCTTGCTTGGTATCTATGCATTTCCTGTATTTCTGGATTTAAATCCTCTGTCATTTCTGTAAAAAGCTCAGCTGCTATCTTCTCAAATGTTGACTCCTTTCTGTCCTTCTGATGTACTTCCCAGGATTCTTACTTAAACCTTGATCTGTTCTCCATGTCTCTCAAGCTGGCTTTCATCCTCTTCCCCTGCATCCTTGTGTTGCATTCTGGGGAATGTCTTCAGTTCTTCTGTACAGTGCGTGAACTCCTTCATTTGGGGCTCATCTGCTGCTCAACCATTCTGTTGTGTTTTACATCTCAATAATTTTTATTTCATGTTTTAACTTCCTTAAATTCAATGTTCATATTTGGCCTGTTGCTTTTAATAGGCTCTTGATCCTTTTTCATTTTTAGACCTCTTTTGTGTTCTTAAACATTTAACATGTAATATTTCATATTCTGTATCTGATCATTCCAGTATCTAGGTAAAGTCTTCAGTTTGCCTAAATCTGCTGTCTCTCACAATGGCTTCTTTTCTTGCATGATTTGTGGTGGGATTTTGAGACCAGATTTAATTGAACATAGATTTAATCTGTTTCAATTCCTGTGTTTTTCTGGAGGGTTTGTCTTTCTTTGCCAGGAGGCTGGGAGTGTTTTTGGTTGGAACCACTTTGGCTCCATTTGAAGGTTCTGGTTTATTAAGGGAATCTCAGGTTCAGTTCCTCAAACGTACCATGTGGTGAGAGCTGGGGTCTGGAGGGCACAGACATCTAGATCTAGAGAGCCTGCAGTGAAATTGGTGTTAGTTCTCTGGCACCCTGAATTGTTTCTCTTGAGCTTGTTGCTTACAGATCAGGTTTTGGCCACTTCCTTCTTCTTACTTCCTTTCCTACCATTTTTTAAGTCCTTTGTTAGTTTCCCAATGTCCTCTAAAGCCCAGAAATGTTTTGAGAATTATCTTTGCTGTCACTAATTGCAAGTCTTGTCCTGTAGCAGGAAAGCCTGTCAGAGACAGAGACTGTAGTCCTATACCTCCCATAGCGGAGATTTTAATACCCTCTCCTCGTGTCCAGAAATTCTAGATTAGGGAGGGTGTTATTACAGATACATTACCATCTACAGAGGATTAGTTGCCTATATAATAGAACAAATATATATTATTCAAAGCTTCATAAAACTTTCATTTTGCATAGTAAATATGAATGAATAATGAACCAGCATTACTTTTGTTTATGCTTATGTTCTCTTTCTGTCTCTGGCTTTAGAAGGTAGGTTGTAATTTGTGTGGTTCATTTTGAAAATTAAGTAACTTCATTGCTATTTTCTATAAGTTAGTGCCATATAAAGAGGTGGCTTATGAGGATTCAGAGGTAAATACTTATCAAGGTGTAAATACTTGGGGAAGGCTTCCTTTATAAGAGGTAAAATTATTAAGACATGTTAAATCATAGAAGGGATATTGTGTAAAGATAGCCTATAAATAAAAAGTGGATTGGAAGAAAGCAGAGAGATGAGTGAGGAAGGGTTGGAAGGAGAGTGTATAGGGAGACCTGCTGCCTGTCTCTGTAAGTGGGGCGATTTGGAAGGGATCCTTTGCAAAAGGAGGCAGTAGTGTTTAGATGGAATGAGCGACTGGAGACCTTAACAGTGCTCTGATGAAGCAAGTGGTGTGCAATCAAGCTGCCAACCCCGCTGAAGTTGCGGTTTCAGGCAGCAAGCAGGCCTTTCTGTCTGCCTTTATCTCCAGCAGGAGCACTTGTACTCATTGAGGTTGACCTCCAGACACCTTTGCCTCTGGCTGCAAATCTGTGCATCACTTTGGTTGCTGCTTCATGGGGATGTTTGTCACATTTTTTTTTTTTTTTTTACTGAGGTTCACTTGTTAATTTTACTCTTCTTTTAAAAATATATTTAATCTGGGCGCCTGGGTGGCTCAGTTGGTTAAGCGACTGCCTTCAGCTCAGGTCACAATCCCGGGGTCCTGGGATCGAGTCTCGCATCGGGCTCCCTGCTCTGAGGGGAGCCTGCTTCTCCCTCTCCCACTCACCCTGCTTGTGTTCCCTCTCTCACTGTGTCTCTCTCTGTCAAATAAATAAATAAAATCTTAAAAATATATTTAATCTATCATTGCCATGTGTTTCAAGTGGCAGTGGGGGATGATGGTGTGGGACCCCATAAGATGAATTTACATTGCCATCTTGACCACAGTATAAGTGTTGTACATGGCCATCTTGTGTCATCCTTTCCTTCTGAAGTGGATTCTGCCTTCCCAGTTTTTATCAGTGGAAGACTGGGGTCTTTGTTATTGTAAGTGACTTGTCCAAGATTGCACATCTATCAAATGGTAGATAGAGACTTAACCTCTGATCTCATT